ATAAAACTGTTAATTAATTTCTTAAGAAACACATGCAGTACAGATTCAAACATAGCCATTTAGTTTAGTCTAAACTTAAGTCACTATGGTAATTGCCCGATACTGCATGTGTGCTACTTACAAATATTTTCTTATTTTATACCTGCCATGTATGTTCAGCTGCGAGCTTCCTAGCTTGTGCATATACTGGCCCTTGGCCTAGAGTCTGGTTATACCAATAAATATTTATTGACTAAAAAGCAACATAGGAGGTGTGATGGGAGGAACAAGGCAATGGAATCCAAACAGAGTTACTTGGCTACTTACCAAACAGGTGATTAAAAAAATAGCTCAGTTGACCGGGCTGGGAAGGTGGCTCAGTGGTAGAGCGCTTGCCTTGCATGCATGAGGCCCTGGGTTCGAATCCTCAGCACCACATAAGCAAAAAGAAAAAAGCTGGAAGTGGTGCTGTGGCTCAAGTGGTAGAGTGCTAGTCTTGAGCTGAAGAGCTGAGGGACAGCGCCCAGGCCCAGAGTTCAGGCCCCACGACTGAACCAAAAAAAAAAAACAAAAAATAGCTCAGTTCACTTAGAAGCACAGTAGTTTTGGATCTGAAAAATAGGAGTTAAGTTCCTGTGAAGTTCACTGCTGCCATATGTGAAATTGCATTATAAAAAGAGTTAAAAAGAGAGTTTGTAACCAGGAAGCTGTAATTCTGTGTCTGTGCTAACTAGGCTTTCTAGGCAGACCTGGAATTCTAAGTTGGCCTTGAGAACCTTTGGCTGCCTGAAGAGTCCTCACAGGAAGCCAGATGAAGTCCTGTCTCTTCTAATTCATGCATATGTCATTGTCCTATTTTCATGTACTTTTATAATATTCACCCCATCAGCCTCCTTATGAGACATTATTCTTATCATTGTAATATTACAGATGACAAAACAGATTGAATGTGATTAAGTGGCTTACTCATACCATATAGCAAAGTTAGGGAGTCAACCTGAATTAAGTTCATGTAATTTTCAAGGTTTATTACAGTGAATTCACAGAATTTATGGTTGGACTTATTAATCTTTTATCCTTCCTTCCTTCCTTCCTTCCTTCCTTCCTTCCTTCCTTCCTTCCTTCCTTCCTTCCTTCCTTCCTTCCTTCCTTCCTTCCTTCCTTTCTCTTTCTCTCTTTCTCTCTCTCTCTCTCTCTTTCTCTCTTTCTCTCTCTCTTTCTTTCTCTCTTTCTTTCTCTCTTTCTTTCTTTCTTTCTTCAAAGAAGAACTCTGGGGCCCAGATAGAATGGTGTCGTCTTTGTGAGCTCTGTTTGGGGTGAGAGACTCAATGTGTTCATATAGAGCTGGGCTGAACCTAGGGAAGAAGTAGCACTGGGGGAAGTCCTGGAAGGGATGAGAGAACTGGAAACGCACTGTCCCCACTGATCCATGACTGCAGCCACCTACTGCCATCAAGGGTTGAGAGGGATAGACTGAAGTCTCTGCAGATCTCAGAGCTGAGGAAGTCCTTTCTTCTACAGTCACTGCTCTAAGTCATCGCCTCCTGTCCCACAGGTCGCTGTGAGCAATATGACTGGTCCGGTTTGAGAGAGGTTGGGAAAATAAGAAAAGTAAAGGAAGTTTATAAAAAACTTGGTTTGGGCTTTATAAATAAGGCTAGCTTCCCCTCACCCTTACTATAAAGGTGATGTACCTCTGGAGGGGTTACAGCTACGTAAGTCAGAAAACAAGTACATTTCTTTTTGGACAATGTCATCCCTTCCCTTGCTAAGGCTAGTTCTTAAAAATATTTACTTATCAATTTAGCTATGTTTGGCACCATTATAGAATGGTTATTAAACAGATGTGTCATGAAAACAGAGAAGAAAGTCATGCTCAGTGAGCTAGAATGAGCATGGCAGGAATGAGTGATATCTTTATTAACAGACTGGTTATCCAATTAGAATCCATGATGACTTGCAGTCCAGATGGTCTGACTTTCAGAGAACTGGACAAGACTTCCTAAAGGATATAGGGAGAGATATGTGGGTTGGATACAACTCTCTTCTAGGTCCTGGGACAGACAATAGAAATGTGAAGATAAGCAATTACGGAGGTTTTCCCCCTCAAGTAGCTGTCAGTTTTATGGGTTTTAATGTAGATTAATTTAAAAAGGTTAAAAATGCAGTAGATGAGAGTGTTAAGGAAGAGTCAACTGAATTCTTATTTCTACTGTGACACTACTCATCTCAAAAAAATCTAATGGTATAAAAACACAGAGGGATGACAATCAAATTTTTAAGTAACAAAAATCAGGGAAGGAGAATTAAAATGTTGGATATTAAAATAAATAAAAATTTTGACAGACAAGAACTAAGTCCAAATTGAATATTAACTCAAGTTTAAGATAATTAATTAGGTATGTGTATTGTTAACAACTTCTGACTTAGTTAAAAAGAGGTTACAAAGTTTTAAGTCAACCACAGACTGAATATAAACCAGAAGCATAATGTGTTTTCTGGAAATCTGAATGTAACTCAGAAGTGGACTAATAGATACAGTGTCTGGAACAACAGAATTTATACCACCACAATTGGCTGTTCTGGCTCAGGCTTTACCGGAAAGAAATGTGAGTGGTTTTTGTAACTTAAAATGATTAATTTTAGGAAGGGATATTCATAAATGTTCTTTTCCTTCAACGAAGTTTGTCTTTCATTTTTAGTGGATAGATGATGGAAAATGAATTGAAAATGTTTGGAACCAGAAAGTGAAAAACACTTTAAATATAATGATCAAAACCTAAAGCTCAGGAACTGAATCACTCCTAGTTTTAGATGTTTCTTTATTTCCCTCTTTGTCAATATATTTCATATTTACTGTGATATTCTTGAGTTACTTCCATAACACAATATCCTCTTTGTTTCTTCAGCTTTTCCCAAATTATTTATATGTTTCCCCACTTGCCCATCACTCTGTTTTGAAGCTTGAACTCAGGGCCTCTAGTCTAATAGTTTGGCTCTTTAGTTAAAGTTAAGAGTCTTGGGGGCCTTTCTACCTGAGCAAAGTTTGAGATCATGAGCTGAAGAGCACAGTGGTGGGTCTACAGAATAGAATACAAAGTACCGAGAAATGAAGACTGGTTTAAATGTCATAGCATATCAATTTCCAAGATTTAGGTTTTGATTATTATTTAAAGCTTTGGTCATTTTCACCTTGATCCTCAGATCTCAGCTTTCTGAGTAGCTCAGATTACAGGCACAAGCCACTAGTGCCAGGCTTGTGCATGTGCTTTGAATGTCATTATCAGCCATTTCTCTTCAATTTCTTTTTGAGGGTTCACGAATTCTTATTACTTTGATACATTTCCAATCTGTGGTTGTATCCTGGGCAGCCTTTGAACTCTAGTGCAGTGTTCTAACTATTTAGGTAAAAGGGGCATAGACAAAGAGAATTAAATTTTGTTTAACAGTACTTTACCTACACTATCTCTTTTAATTCTCATAACAACTATGTTTTTAAGATGTAGACCTTGGAGCTAATAGTGACTCAGACCTATAATCTCAGCTACTGAAAGGTGGAGATTGGGAAGATCTTGGTTTGAGAGCACTCCGTGCAAAAAGTTTCAAGACTCCACCTCAATCAATAGACCACAAATGTGTCTGTAGCCTCAGTTATATGAGAAGCTATAGGTAGAAGGATCAGTCTGAGGCTGGCCCCAGCAAAAATGCAAGACCCTATCTTAAATGTAACTAAAACACAAAAGGATTGGGTGCGTGGCTCAGGTGGCACAGCACCTGACAAATATATGGTTCCTTGAGTTCAAACTCCAGTACTGCTAACAACATAAAAAAGATCAAACTTTTTATAGAATAAGGGGTTAGTCATTTGTACCTTGCTTTTGCACTAGGACTGTTCAAGCCAAAGCATAATCACCTATCTTTTCCAACTTATATTTCATATTTGGTATTTATTCACTCAGTTCAATTTTTATGCACAGATGCTCCATACCAATTGTATTAACAGAGTATACTAGGGGCAGCATGTAAAGAAATGAATAGGAGGAAACTCTTCTTTTAGAAGCTAACAGTCTAGTAGAGAGTCTGAAAAGGCAGATGTTAGTACTGGTGATAAAGACTGATCTTCTATGGAATTAGTGGTTTGCCAAAAATCAGAAGAATTATTTGGTGGGTCTTGCCTGAAGAATAAAAATCTGACTTCCCCCTTCAATAGGGCCATACCATGCTTCTGTTTCTTCTTTTTCTTTTTTCTTTTTTTCCTTTTGGTGATACTGGGAATTGAACCTAGGGACTTGTTATGCTAGGCAAATAATCTATCATTAAGCTACAACCCCTGCCTTATTCTTATTCATGTTTGTCTTTTATGGACTCAGTAGGCCCATATATAAATGAAAGTCTTGAACAGAACTGTGTCTGTGTTAAAAAAAAAAAATTAGTTCAGCCAAGCACTGCAGGCTCATACCTGTAGTCCTAGGATTACAGGAGGCTGAGATCTAAGGATGGAGGTTCCAAGTAAACCTGGACAGAAAAGTCCCTGTGAGGTTCTTATCTCAAATTAACTGCTCAAAAACCAGAAGTGGAACTGTGGCGGAAAGTGGTAGAGGTCTAGCCTTGAGCATAAGAGTTAAGGGACAGCACTGAGGCCCTGAGTTCATGCCCTATGACTGAAAAAAATCCATATTTAATTCTTACATAAAATTTCAATACATCATATAGTTGATTGTTTCCGAAAATGGAATATGTATCAGTGTAGAATATAAAGGAAGAAATTAGGTACACTTCATAGAGCATGTCAAAACTCTGAGGAGGGTCTGCACCCAGTCCTTCCAATTCCCAATGTTCACCTTTGTAGTTCTCAACATTTGAATATGTTGAAGACAGAGTAAGAACAGATGCACAGCTCACCACTGTGGGTGACAGGCAAACTCCACAAAAATATATCTGCTATAGAGATGTTAATAGCCTATTAGGATTTCAGAACTCTAGCAATTTCATACCTCTTAGTCATTAAAGAGGACCATTACCCAGCTTGGCTTGACCCTGGAAAAGCCTATCATGTGTTCTCCTGCCCTATGTAAAAAGATAAACATTAAACAAACAAAGAAACCTCTTTGCTACCAGAAAGGAAAAGGCTGTGTATTTCCCACTGAATTCAGAGAGGGCAAGCAGTTCCAATAGTTTTAGAATGTGAACTTTCATAAAAGGCACCTTATCTTGCTCGCTTTCTCATATGTCTTCATCTGTTTTATTGACTCTGTTTGATGGAATATAGCAGCAGGCACTGCAAAGTGCTTTTTAATACTTTAGTAAACAGTTGAGAGAGAGAAACCTCATTACAGATAAAGTGAGAAGTGAAGGTGGACAGCCCATTTATCTTTCTCAAGATGAAATAAGGGCTATTGTTCAATTAGGCCAAAATACAATCTCTCATGTTTCCTTCCTAATGTCTTGTTTGGGGGCAGAGGTAGGAGGTGGGGGAAGTGAAAGGCAGGTTGAGTAAGCTTCTGAAATATTGCCCAAGAATGAACAACAGAATGTGACTGGGCTTGGGAGGAGAATGAGGCAGCTGCTCCTATACAAGTTGCTTTGAATTCATTTCTGCCTGCAGGAAGCAGGGGCAAAGATAGTTAAGGATCTATGGGAGAGAGCCAGTACAAATCCTTTCTCAGTCCTGGCTTGAAACTTTCATTAGGATGCTTTAGAAAAAGGGAGGCGGGGGCAATTGGCAATGGTTTATAGATGGGGCTTAAGGAAGAAGAGTTGAGAGTCAGGCTGATCAAAACATAAAATGTACAAAGACTGTGCATCTGTTCTCATTCCATCTGCTCTCATTCTTTAGCCATTAGCTATAGTAAAAACATTCTGTTGATTTTTAATGGGGATGAAGAAGGGGAGGATGGTAGTGAAGCTGGAAAGAAATCCAGCTGTTTTGCTGCCCAAAGTTAGCACCTGGCTCCTTCTTAGTCTGCTGTGCTGGTTAAGAGAGTGCCCGTCCCTCATTCCTGCTTGGATGTGCATATTTATTCTCTAAAATAACAAAAAAGAGGAAATTCAATTTCTGAACTGATACTGTTAATTTGATAATTTTGGTAATTTGGTAGGAGATACTCTCCTACCCCCATTATTTGAACCAGATCATGTGTACTGAGATATCTGATATATATATATCTATATATCTATATACATAGATATATATATACACACATATATATATATATATATATTTATATTTTAGAGATGCTTTAGAGATTCTAAGTACAAACATTCCTTTCTATCCTTAGGTGCTAGGTTTGTTTTGTCTATGATATCTGCAATCATACAAGACAATTATTCTACTAATTGTACTGTGACTTGAGTATTGGTAAAAAAAAATTATTTAGATACAAAACAGGAATAATTTACTTACCTTTTCTTAAATCTTTCTTGCCTATCCTTAGACAAAACCCAGGTTTTGCCAATGGTGTTTTCTTTTTGTTTTTAATTTTTTGTTTGAGTCAGGTCTAGCTCTTTAGTTCAGCCTGTCCTTGAACTTATGATGTTCCTGCCTCAGCTTCTAAAATGCTAGAATTAGAGGTTCATGTTATTACATTCAGTCCCAATGGTGTTTTGATTTAATACCTCTCATTGGATTACTAAAATAAAAAGTTTCACTTTCTCCAAAGTTCCTCCCTATTAAAGACTAACCAAGAACTCAAGGTAGAAGACAACAAATTCTGATGAGCTGGCCCACAGGGCAATAAAACTTCAACTGTCACTACTTGAAAATCAAAGCACATCTTCTTGTCCTAGGTAATTTGGAACTGCCTCTCTCAAGCTCCCAGGAAAGAGATAAAGCACTTCAGGAATCACTTAAAGTACTTTATTCATCATGTATATCAGGGTGGATTGGATTTATGGGATAGCAAATAAATAATATTGATATGAGGGATGTTATTAATGAAGTAACACAAAGAAGCAACTGAGAGGTCCTCAGCCACTTGGTTAAATTTGAAGTAAGATGCTTGTTTGGGGTAGATAGAGTTGGGCAAGAACAAGAGATAGAGCCAAGGGGCCAAAGATGCTTCAAGATGTTAGGACATTTTAGTCCTTCTCTAAAACCCCTGGCAGAAGGCATCACTGGGGAAGAGGAGATTGGCATAACTAATGTCTGCCCACTTCTGGGTCTCACCTGTAATCTGTGAACACCTGGAGGTAAAAATCCTGTCTTTTTCATTTAGTTATTACACAAAGTGCAATAAATGTGACTGAACTCACTGAGCTAGACACATCCTGCCTCTGTAGTCTACAACAAATACAACATCGTTTACTTTTCCATTAAGTCCAGTAGGAAGCCGTCATCAAATAGAAAGCTAGAAATCACCCTAGAATACGAAGCATATTTTATCGTAAATATTCTTATATCTCCACAAGGGTGTGCTGTCTGCGTTGGACAGGAAAAGTAATGAAGGCTTTTCCACAGCTTTGAATGACTAATGTATGCTTGTCCCATTCCCAAACCAGTCGCTGTTCATCAAACTTCCCTTACATTACCAATCAGAGTTTCTTTTACCAGGAAGAAGGCACAAGCAAGGAATGTTTGTTACTGACAGAAAGAAAGGGAAAGCTAAGATAAAATTGTACGGTCTCCACTCAAGATGTTTAGAATTCCATTAAGAAAACTAGATAAGCCACAATTAACAGGCAATGCAAAATTGAAAGGAATTGAGTTTGACCTTTAGGAGTCTCCCCAAGCTAAAATGGGGATCAGAAAGCTGCAAGCTCGAATGCTCCAATGTACCCAAGACCGAGGGTGGAGTTAGACTCCAGGTTTCCACAGGGAAACCTGAGGCAGGGTGCTGCTTCTAGCCCCAAACAACTGCCCACCCATTGGGAGTGAACACAGGACTTTTTTTTTTATGAATCCCTTAGACAAATTTTAAAGGGATGAATTTCTAGATCCTCAATTCCAACTATATTCTTTCCTAAAGTTGACCTGCCAATTCTGTACTTGTCTGAATTTCCCCACTTCTTCTTTAAAACTCTGTTTTTTAAAAGATAGACTTCAGAGAGACACTGGTGGCTCCTACCTATAATCCTAGCTACTCAGCAGGGTAAAATTGGAGGGTTACAGTTCAAAGCCAAGCCAGGAAGAAAAGTTCAAGATATTCTTATCTCTCATGAAGCACTAAAAAAGCCAGAACTAGAGCTTTGGCTCAAGTGGTAGAGCCCTAGCCTTGAGGAACAAAGCTTAGGGACAGCACCTCGGCCTCAACACACACACACACACACACACACACACACACACACACACACACACACACACACACACACACACACACACACACACACACAGAGCTTCATACCCACAGTAAATTTATTGGTGTGGAATTGACCCAGGGTGCCAAACAAAGGAATTATTCCAGGATGCCTCCTCTTGAGGACTGGGTGCCAGCAGGAATAAAGGAGGACATCCTTGATGTTATCCAAAAGATGGCTGGCACTTCCGAAGCTCCATCCATCCATCCATCCATCCATCCACTTTTGAATTAGAATTTAAAAGTGAGATCACTGTAACAGCTATGGACCTTAATATGATTATTTGAATTTAAAATTGAAGTATACCTTTTTTTTGTGTGTCAGTTGTGGGGCTTGAACTCTGGGCCTGAGCACTGTCCCTCAGCTCTTCAGCTCAAGGTGAGCACTCTACCACTCGAGCCACAGTGCCACTTCCAGTTTTCTGAGTGTTTTCTTGGAAATAAGAGTCTCATGGACTTGCTGGCTTTGAACCATGGTCCTCAGATCTCAGCCTCCTGAGAAGCTAGGATTACAAGTGTGAGCCACCACTGCCCAGCTGAAGTATACCTTTTTTTATAGAAAGGAAATCAGGCTGGCTGATAGTTTTAAAATGAGAATTGGGTTTGCCAAGTTAGATGGCAAATATTGACTACAAATAGAATAATTTAAGTATACTTACTGCTCTAAGATCATGACCAGAAATATATTCAGGTAGATAAATATATATTTATATAAACATATAACACATATGTATATATAATTATATATAAATAAATAAATTTGAATATATATTATATTATTATATTATGTATTATATATAATATATATTATATATTATATATAGATATATGTTGGTAATTAGACTTATAATTAATATTACTGGATATCAGTTAAAAGTTTTCTTTAAAAAAACCAATTTAAGAGTACACACAAAAAACATTGAAGCTAACAGCTATAGGGACTTAAAAGGGGCTGGACAAGACAGTAACAATCTGAGGAGGTGTCTTAAAGGGGTAGGACTGAACTTTGTGTTAGAGAGTCTTGAGGTGATTCAGAAATGGAAAGGCAGGAAAAGGCTATTTAGTCATTCCTCAATGTCAGTAGTAAGTTCATGGACTTTAGAGTTGTATCAAATGTGTCTGATGAAGTCAGGGCAGCTTCGTCTCATGACAAGAGCCAATGGAATGGCAAAGACAGTCTAGTCCAAAAAGAGTTAAAAGCTTACTTGTTGGGAAATAAAGAGAGGGCAGATTGGACAGGCAAATGAACAATGAAGTGTGTGTGTGTGTGTGTGTGTGTGTGTGTGTGTGTGTGTGTGTAAACTCTTTGGCTATTGTAGCCAGCAGAGGACATCTAAAAGGAGGATAATATTTAGTGCCAAGGATCCTCAACATCGCATCTATACCCTTAAAGTCTATAAAATCCTCCATGTTAGACATTACTACTGCATCACACCTAGCCTCTAACTACACTTTGCTTCCTAGCTAGGAGAATCCTAATTCTCTTTTAAGATATCTACCTCCCCTCATAAATCTAAGAGATTGCACCTGCAGCTCCTAGGACGGATCTTGTAGGTCAAAAAACTAATAGGTAGATCTAAGCTAATTGAGGTCATTGTATCTCTGCTCCTAGTGATTGATTTAAAAATGATCAGAGCAAGCAGAAATGGAAGTATTTTTATAGAATGAGATTCCTGAAGGGAATGAATTTCTTCATACTAAATATAATTTTAAGGGAAGGGAAGAGATTCTCTTTAGGGCACTGGCTATATATTAGGTAAAAGCAGAGTTTTTTTTTAAATGTTAAGTCAGTGAGGTCAGTAAGAATCTTAATTTACTTCTCATACTTTGCTTAGACAAGATAATGCACTTAGTACTGCTTGGCTGCCTCTCAAAGAGCTTTTGACTTGGAGAAGGGATAGGACAGGCATTCTCAGCCAGGCTTATCAGTACCAGACAGTATTTAGACTACAGCCTCAATTGTGAGTGTGCCCTTTTGTGAAGCCTTTAAAGGCCGGATCTGCTTACAGGGCCATTAACTGTGGGGTCCCACAAGTCACCTTCCAGGGATAGCTGAATATACCTCCCTAAGTGCACATCAATCAGCAAGAGACACCACCTTAACCATTTCAAACCCAGGCATGTTTAGTAGATGTAGAAAGAATTATACCTGTTGTGTGGGTAGGATCATCTGAAGAACAGACTCTGAGGGATGGGATTTTCCATTTATTCATTTGCAATATGGATTTTTTTTCTTCTCAAGATTAGCATTCTACCACTAGGTGGTTTATTGGAGATATGAGCCTCATGGACTTCCCTTCATAGGCTGGCTTCAAACTACAATCCTTGGATCTCAGCCTCCTGATTAGCTAGATTTAGAGGCATCAGCACCGAACACCTGCCGTTGCCATTCCTGATACCATTCAAACAGAGAGTGATGGGGGATTAGAGCTTAGTTCTGTCATTGAACTCTAGTTCTCATTTATTCAACACACTTACTTCTTTTATGTACTAGTTACTCTTGGCTGTACAGTAGTGATCAAATAAAACCTCTACCTTCGCGGAGCTTAACTTCTAGTGTAGACTTTAGATTCCAGATAAATATTAATATAAACTACACACACACACACACACACACACACACATTATTCCTGGATACTGAAGAAAAGAAGAAGTCTACCTAGTAGAACTGGAGGCTATTTATCATGGTCTGGGAAATGGATCTGGGATCTAGCCACTTAAGGCTCCTTCT